TTAATACCCTATAGTTCTCAGGTTTCTCCCGTTGTTTTTGTATCAAATCAAACACATTACTCCAGGGCTGGTTGATAGTGTCACAGAATCTTTTAAAGATCATCTTTAACTCTTCAGCATCCTCACATAACCTGATAAAGTCCAATATCTAGGTTAGGATGACTTTAGATGGCTTAAGGTGCAACTTCGCTCGAAGATCGCTTTGGTTCATTGTGAATCCTTCATGAAAATTAAACCACAAAGTATACAGAGGTGTCACTTTTGACATTTAAAAAAGTCTAAAATCAGCTTTTGTTTGATTTTGAAATTGTTTGGTGAGAAGAGGTACATAAAATACAGCTAAAAAAATTATTGAATTCGTTTTGTGCGAAAGAGAGGGAAATAGTTTTTTGCTCGTGACGCCTCTGTATACCCTGTGATTAAACTAAAGAGAGATGAAATAGAAAGAAATATCGTCTTTAGTTCCTTTACATCGTAGCATAACATGCACAAGTCTGCTATAGTATTATTCCATTAACTAGTAAAAACTTTAAAATTCCTATCAGAGTCCTTAGACTATATCGGTCCTGTGCAACAAGTTTCTTAGTTGCCTTTGCATCATGTTTTGGCTACAAGACCCTAGACTCTACAATCTAGTTTGGAATTTCAAGACTGGTCGATAGTCTATCGGAATCTATAAGAGATCATTTAGGTCAATAGTTATAAATGTTTGGTTTTAGGGACACGTTTCAAGGTTCGAACCCAGCGGTGTTTTCAGTTTCACTTTTGTTTGAGATTCTTCATTCTAGAATAAAGCCAACTTATATGTTCAATCGTCTCTTGTTCCGCAGCATCCTCGCATATCATGTCCGGTATGGTATTGTCCCATTACTTACTACTCTAAAATGACTCATAGTTCTTCGGAATTTCGGAATTTATTAAAGATTACAAACAGGTGGTTTTAGCACCCTGTCTCTACTATTTAGGTCAGGGTTCATGACCTATTGTCGATATAACCAACACAGTCTAATTGTAAACAGAATCATGATCTCAGAGCACTTCCACAGTTTCTATGATATTTCAGTGAAATACAACATGATCCAGTATAATTTCCCTCAGTTTTGGGATCTCCGCTTGGAAGTATCCGAGTTTATTCTAGATCATAAAGTTTTTGCGTTTCAACGGATTCTTAATTTTTATAGAAAATTTGATTTATTCATGGTTGTTATAGAATCCTAGTTAGAATTGAAACGATTCTGATTTGAATTGGTGAAGTCGTCTTGATTTAGCATTTATTAGATAATAAACCTATAAGTATATTTGTAGGTGGACATTGCAATGGGTATTTGAAAGATGTAATAACATTTCCAATATTTAGTAAAATTGATTTTACTTTGTGAACCATAAGAGCGATCGACGTAAAAAGGATGTCATTTCTTGGAAATTTTGTAAAGTTATAAACCTTCTATGTCATACGAAATGTTATCGAAGTAAAGCTAAACTATAGTACATTATACGTTCTTACGACAATTGGATTTTCATTCCCGAACGAACTGAGTCATACTCGGTCAAAGATTGTCAACCCAGCGACTCATAGTTTTTCTCCAGAAAGGAACTATTAATCGATCAATTTTACTCGATCACGTATGCCGTATTATTTCAGACAAAAAACTATATATAGAGATTCTGTGACATGAAATTCTTACAACATTTCTGATTCGAAAATAAAATAAAAAAAGCATTTGCTTTTTTGTAGAGTTCAAATCTGATTCTAAAGGTACGTTGGAAAAACTCACTTGGGATTTTTGTGTAGAACCTCCTCAAATTGAGTCCTTTGGATTTTTTAAATAAAGCCAAAAGGGAATTAAAACCGTTTGGAATTTTTCTACAAAACTATTATGGATTTTGAAAGTTATAAAATCTTTTCTATTGGATTTTCCCAATTAGTATTTTATTATAATTATCTCGACCTTTACCGTCCTTTTGAAACAACATTCCTATCAGTTACCTGTCAAATTATCACATTTGATACTTTTTCACTCCTACCTGTCCGCTCAAAATGTCCTTTTCTCATCCTATAAATATTCTTTGCTTGGTAAGAGAGGACAACATTCACTTCTCAAGTGTTTAACTGATAACATATTGAAACAAATTTCGAAAGAAAGGTATTCTTTACTAAAAATGATTCCCGATTTAACTTACGCTACCTTGGCCTCTGAAATGGTTGCAATTGGCAGTGAACCCGCCATGCCTGTCGATGAACCTGAACATATTTTGGGTGAAGCTTTTTCGATAGCAACTACTACATCGTCTCATTTACATCGTATACCCAGTGGTTCGAGACAATGGGAATTTTATCTTCAAGATTTGGTCGAATCAAAGACAAAACGTTCGGTACGTGTGAAACGCGAAACGGAAAGTATTAATGATTTTCTGCAAAGATTTCCCATCTATGAAAGACCTTAGAGAAGAGTTTACGGTTTCGAATGGAAAGAAGGTCGACATATTAATGTGATTATTTTATACGAATTAAATTCATTAGTTTTAAGTTATTTTTTTAAGTATGCCAATTTGTATTTAATTTTTTTATAATTAGTTATAATTTTATAATAAAATTTATGTCTTTACAGTAATACAAATATCTTAATTTACTTATTATTTGAGAATCTTAAGAATTTAGGTATTGATTTACGATTCAAAATTATTTTAGGCTATTTTTTCTTCTTTTTATTTAACTTTCTTTATTAACTCTTCCATGCATTGACTATGCTTCATAAACTTATCCATAGACTAGCCAATAGAATAGTTGTCTAGTCTTGGACACTATTCTTTGTCTAGTCCATAGACTATTCAATAGGATAGATATAGTAGTCAAAAACTAGCGTACATAGACTAGTCAATAAACTTGATAACAGTTTAGTCCATTGACTAGTCAATAATAATTGACTAGTCAATAAATAATTCATAAACTAGTCTAAACTAAACTAGTAAATAGTGCATAGACTAGTCCCTAGTCTAGTCAATAGAATAGTCTGTAAACTACTAGGATAGTCCATAGGCTAATCAATAGAATAGTTTGTAGACTAGTCAATAAACTATATGACTAATCCATAAACTATATATATGATAGTTGATTGACTAATCCATAAACTTGATAATATAATACACCAAAGATTAGTCCATAGACTAGACTATAGATTATACAATAGAGTAGTCCATAAACTATAGACAATCCACACATTCCTTTGCCTAGTCAATAGAATAGCCCACAAACCAGTCCATAGAATAGTCCATTAAGCGGCCAATAGACTAGTCCAATGACTGGACAATAGACTAGTCCAATGACTAGACAATTTTGTGATTCAGACGTTCTGAATACTTTATTGAACATCCTATCTATAGATCTGCATATAATGTCCATATCTGTCTGCAGCGCAGCGTGGCTTAACTCATCCGGAAGTTGGATATCAAGAACATAAGGACATGCTAAGATTTTAAGCCTACTACCTCCAATCTTGAACCAACTACTCGACTATATTACCCAACACGCGGACTTTGGTAGAGTTTTCAAAGTCAGCGATCCTTCTAGGAGCGAGTGGTGTACGGTTAACTTACCAAGTGAATGTACCACCAGAATCTGATTGGTTCTGGTGGTGTTTTTCAGGCTGAAATATTTGCGATAATGCCAGGCCTGTAGGGTACTATATGATCTTAATATTCGTGGCAACATAGACATTTTTGTCGATAGTCTAGCGGCACTTCTTTCACTAAACTCTTATACTACCATTTCCCTATTAGTCAGACAATACAAGAAAGATCTTTCTGGGTTGCCTGTCCCTTGTTGGGGTCCTTGTGTATAGGGACTATTATGGAAAAGAACAGGCAGATAAGCTAGCCAGATCAGGATCTGCTCTTAATATCTCCAAAGCCGTTTCAGTAGCAATTCTCTTAGATTTTATCCTCAGATACGCTTAGAATAGATGGAATAAACTAGGTACATGTAAAGAGGCCAAGTTATTGAGGTCTTCTTTCAATGAGAAACGCACAAGACACCTTAAACCCGAAATAGGCAGGATATATCGATGATGATAGTAGTAATAATAGTAGTAATAGGCAGACATGCAAGTCGGCTTGGGGTCCTCTCCAATCATTACTGTCGCAGTTGCAAATACAGTGAAAACGAAGAAGCCATTTAGAGAAACAATTTTCTTGACAGTCACTTCATATCCAAACTTGTTAAGATATTTGGGTGTATACTTAAAGACATCTTGAGATTTATCACGATTACAAGCTGGATCTAATACTATTCAATACTACATCTGACGAGTAGATTGGTCCTGTCAAAACGGAGTCCCTTCGACTCTTCTTGATTTCTGTAAAGTTTAGTACATAAATAGGTCCCCTTTCGAAAATCATCCTTATGCTCACTTAAGGATTTTAGATTTTACTCTTTAATAATTTATAAAACTAAATAAAAAATCTTTGAAATAAATTCTTTTATAGAGATTGCATTTTATTAATAATAAAATTAACGAAAGTTTTTAACACTTTAATATAAAAAAACATATTATAATAAAAAATGACGATTGCGGGACGTAAGAGATGATTCATTTAACCATTTATCATTGTTTATATCAATTATTATTTTCGTTTTTTTGCCAAAATCACAGAGATGGACGTCGATGATTAGGCATATAAATTGCAGTTGTGTTGTTTTGTTGTGATCCTATAGTTGTTACTAGCTAGATGTTGACAATTGAATCCATTTTAAATACATATGTAAAAAAAAATCTAAAGTTAAGTTTCAAATTAAAGAAACTCTTTCCTTAGTTCTTCTTCAAACTCTCCATAACCAAGGGCATATTCTTGCTGATGAAGCACTTGAAGCCACGGAATGCCCAGGCGCATGAATCGGATTTTTGTTCATTCTTATCGGCACACTTTTCAACATCAGCCTTAACTTCATCCTTGTTTTCTTTGCCGTGTCCTAGTTGAGCAATTAGATTTTCATTTTTGAAACCATCCTTGGGATCGAACAATTGGAATTTCTCGAAAATACATTCGATATAGCAGCGGGTGACTTCATCATCGGGGAAATCGAATTTCTTGTATTTTTCAATCAGTTCGGGTGAGACTTTCTTAGCTTCCATGCACTCTTTACGTGCCTTCATAAGATCTTCTTGATTACGAAGTTTGTATTCGGCGGAAACCTGTGAATGGTAATAGAAATGTTTAATAAAAATTTTGGATGAATAGAAATTTGAAATATTCAATAGAAATTCAAAATTTCTATAATAAATTCTAAAATTTCTCATAGAAATCTGAACCGTCTAACAGAATATTGAAATTTCTGATAGAAATTCTAATACAATTTCAAAATTTCATAAATTTCAAATCGAAATTCATAATTTCGTAAAGAAATTTCTAATTTTCAATTACACTTTTATTTCACTGCAAGGATTTCACTTACCAAAGCAAATAGTGCGAATAAAATTGCCAGAGAAGTCTTCATTTTGTTTTATAAATCTTTACTAAACGTTCGGATATAAGGAATAAATCACAAAATTTATTTGTACGCTTGGATTACTGTTTGTCTAAGCTTGATCCGTTTAAAACTGATGACAATTGTCACAATGATCTGGGTTTTTATAGTCTCTTTCTCTCGCTAACATTTAATGTTCTCGAATAAGATCTCTACAACACAAACACTTAGGTTATTGTAGTATAATTTAAATACTGTATATCAACACAATAATAATCATTTAACTGTGGGATAAGGGAGTACAATTTAGGTTCCTATAGTCATAAAAACACCCGCACTTAGAGGGGTTGGGTAAATAGTAATATGAACAAACAGTCGTTGGTATTATAATAATGTCATGTTAAAAAATTAATCTGTGTTTTGTTTGTTTGGGTCATCATTCGAGTACAATAAATCTTGTTTAAATGTGCTTTAAACTGATTTATTGAGGATCCATAACCAGAAATGACATACGATGGGGTCAATTTAATTATTGTCAAACAGTTAAAATATATATACTCCTTTCCAGATATTTGTTCCAAATTTGATGTCATCGCTATAGTCTAGTCTATATAGTCTAGTCTGTATAGTCTAGTTTATATAGTCTAGTCTATAATCTAGTCTAGTCTATATATGTAGTCTAGTTTTTACAGTCTAGTTTATATAGTCTAGTCTATATGGTCTAGTCTATATAGTCTAGTCTATATAGTCTAGTCTATATTGTCAAGTCTATAGTCTGGTCTATATACATAGTCTAGTATAGTAGTATATACATAGTCTAGTCTATAGTCTCGTCTATAATCTCATCTATAGTCTCGTCTGTAGTCTCGTCTGTAGTCTCGTCTATAGTCTCGTCTATAGTCTCGTCTATAGTCTCGTCTATAGTCTCGTCTACAGTCTCGTCTATAGTCTAGTCTATAGTCTAGTCTATAGTCTAGTCTATAGTCTAGTCTATAGTCTAGTCTATAGTCTAGTCTATAGTCTAGTCTATAGTCTAGTCTATAGTCTAGTCTATAGTCTAGTCTATAGTCTAGTCTATAGTCTAGTCTATAGTCTAGTCTATAGTCTAGTCTATAGTCTAGTCTATAGTCTAGTCTATAGTCTAGTCTATAGTCTAGTCTATAGTCTAGTCTATAGTCTAGTCTATAGTCTAGTCTATAGTCTAGTCTATAGTCTATAGTCTAGTCTATAGTCTAGTCTATAGTCTAGTCTATAGTCTAGTCTATAGTCTAGTCTATAGTCTAGTCTATAGTCTAGTCTATAGTCTAGTCTATAGTCTAGTCTATAGTCTAGTCTATAGTCTAGTCTATAGTCTAGTCTATAGTCTAGTCTATAGTCTAGTCTATAGTCTAGTCTATAGTCTAGTCTATAGTCTAGTCTATAGTCTAGTCTATAGTCTAGTCTATAGTCTAGTCTATAGTCTAGTCTATAGTCTAGTCTATAGTCTAGTCTATAGTCTAGTCTATAGTCTAGTCTATAGTCTAGTCTATAGTCTAGTCTATAGTCTAGTCTATAGTCTAGTCTATAGTCTAGTCTATAGTCTAGTCTATAGTCTAGTCTATAGTCTAGTCTATAGTCTAGTCTATAGTCTAGTCTATAGTCTAGTCTAGTCTATAGTCTAGTCTATAGTCTAGTCTATAGTCTAGTCTATAGTCTAGTCTATAGTCTAGTCTATAGTCTAGTCTATAGTCTAGTCTATAGTCTGTCTATAGTCTAGTCTATAGTCTAGTCTATAGTCTAGTCTCTAGTCTAGTCTATAGTCTAGTCTATAGTCTAGTCTATAGTCTAGTCTATAGTCTAGTCTATAGTCTAGTCTATAGTCTAGTCTATAGTCTAGTCTATAGTCTAGTCTATAGTCTAGTCTATAGTCTAGTCTATAGTCTAGTCTATAGTCTAGTCTATAGTCTAGTCTATAGTCTAGTCTATAGTCTAGTCTATAGTCTAGTCTATAGTCTAGTCTATAGTCTAGTCTATAGTCTAGTAGTCTATTATAGTCTAGT